TCATGTAAGTAGTAAAAATGAGCTATTGAATACTTAGACTGTATCATGAAAGTGTTTGAAATTCTCAACTAAATTGAATGGATCAAATAATAAAATCAGATCTAATAGTATTATCTTTTAATTCACCGAACATTACTAATCTATTCCTAAAGAGATATTTAAGTACTATACCGCGTCGACCCATTTCACCAAATTAAAAGACGTCGCCAAATGCCGTCATTGTTATTATTATTGCCTTCAAACATACACAGAACCGTTTTCCACTATTAGTAGTATATCGTGGCATTTGGCGACGTCTTTTAGAATTGACGAAAGTGCCGACCGTACTGTACGAAATTACCCATAAATATAACTAAGGTCTCCTACATAAAAATACAAATACACAAAAGCATATTGAATCCTTTATAATTATTATGTGACGTTTTCTATTTTCAGTTATTTTGTTAAATTTCTAAGGCATTATTTGCTAATTTTTGGAACCTTTAAGTAACTTTTTTTGCTATTTTTAATACATGTCTTAAAATCATAATTCGCAGAAATAGAGGCAATTACAATTCAGTGTTTTCTCCCTCTTACAGGTATTCGAAATAAACAGTTGCTACAAAAACACTTAGATTTTTCATAATAATGTGGGGTATTGATATTTTAATTTTAATGTAAAAGACTGGTATACAGCAATGGCACACACAAGGGGGTGTCCTAGGAGTCCGGAATCCCCCAAAGCCCTTGATTTTTTTTCCAATTGATTATAATTTTAAGTATATAATACGTAAAATTTAATTAAATATTTGTTTTTAATGATTAATTTTATTAATTAATACTAATTATTTATTCAATAATTAGTTTTTTGCTGCTTTTTGTTCCCCAAAATGGACAAAATCAAAAGGAGCATGATACAAGAATGGAGGATTTTAGCCCCTGGCCCGCCCCCCCCTTGGAAAACTTCTGTGTGCGCTCCTGTTATACAGTATTAATTTATGCATGTTTTTAGTAGATTTATTTTTAAGTTATTTTAAAACAATTTCATAAGTCGTTATCTTTTTTATGAAGTTGTACATGGCATTTTATCGATTCGTTGTTGCATTGTTTGACATTGATTATTTAAATCCAATATTGTTATTAATATGGATTTATTCAAGCAATTTGAAACATTTTTCCAATTAAGGCTTTATTGATTAAATTTACATTTTTTTTTATTTTAGATTGTTTTATTTTCATATTTGGAGTGAACTACATCCTAAAGTGTTTGTAATTCCAATTCTGCTTTGAAAAGCTAGTTTTTGAAAAATACAGCAAAAATTATGTATCGTTCATAAAAAATTTTTTACAGATTATTCATGAAATGACATCATTATAACTCAATTATATTACTATACCAATTTATTAAAATGATAATGATCTTTATTTTTGGTAAATTTCAAGTCCTTTTGTTTAAGAAATTTAAATATATTAATATTTATTTATTTGTCACCAATGCTTTGGGTCAAATTAAACAAACAAAAAAAATCTTCAATTATTACTAAAAATATGTATGTTAGGTACAGTAATTTAAAACAAGATATCCTATATTACATAACAGAAATGTTATGGAACTTTATATTTTGTATATTGGATAACTATTGCATAAAATTCATTTTGTAGGAAAATCATGAAAGGAAAAAACTCAAAACATAATTCATTATTTTTTCTAAAAAATAAATACACACGACGATAATATTTGATATATTTTGTGTGTGTGTGTGATAGACTAACAAAAATAGAGAAAAGTAAAATGTTAACATCGTAAGAGGGAAAAAAGGGAAAGAAAAAAATATAGATTTTAGATGTGAATTTACTATTCACAACAATATTAAGTTCTAAATAACTGTCGCTTCAGAAGGATAAGATTGATTGATTGATTGAATATTAACGTCGCACTGTTCAGCTACTCGAGGGCTTTTGGCGACAGACCACGTAATTTTGAACCATGGTCAAGTGACGTGGACGACACCTGAGCTGGCACCCCCTCTCCTAACTACCACACCACACCAACGGGAGGACGTTTCAGCTCTCGACAGATTTAACGTGCATCGCTGCCCTACACGGCGGGTCTTTAGTGGTACTGGGCTCGAACTCGTGACAAGGCAAGCCACGGTCCGATACCTATACCACTCGGCTACCGCGGCCTCAGAAAGCATAAGAACAATTATAAAAGAATTTTAAAAAATTGCTTAAGAATCTACTATATATGTGTGTGTTGGTGATAAAATATTTATTAAATCCCGTATAATTACCACTGTAAATGAAAAACATCTTGAATTCTATTTTTGATAGATAATGAAACTTATTTCCGCGAAAGAGTTTTTAGTCTAATTAAATCCAAGTAATTTTTTTTTATATTTCGATTCATATAAGTTATTAAATCCAAAAATTATTAATCGGCCAAAATTCTATCTTAACATGGTTTTCATCAATTATTCACATTAAAGATTTTAAATTCCTTTGTAATTTAAATTTTCTAATCTTGGAAGTTATAAATTATAAACTCTGAAGCATATGTGTAAGCTCTTATCGACCGTGAAATTAGCGTAATTTCAGTCAAACTTACACTAATAGAAATACGTTGTTGGAATACATTGGTGCTGGAATATCGCCTCATTTGGCGATTTTTTTCTAAATTGGCTAGAATCATCTAATGTAGGGATCTTCAACCCGTGGACCACGGAGCATGAATGGCCCACTGAAGGCATTTTAGTGGCCCCTCATTAAGATTTGAAGCAATTAAAAATAGTTTTGTCTGTTTTTTGTCATGAGAAAGGTTATTCTTTTGTTATTCTTGATGTTTAAAACATTTCACTGATGTGTTTGGTATACATTTGAGATAAAATGTTTTGAAAATGCAGAATTTTTCAATATTTTCTCTGTATTTTAATTAATTTTAAACGTAAAAAATTCTTACCATGCATAAAAGAAATTTTCGGTTAAAAGTGGGCTCTTTAACAGGTTTGCAAATTATTTTAATTCGACTTCCCTTTAACTTTTTTGAAACTGATGTATTTATATATATATCTGTAAACACCATCTCTTCCCTCAAAATCAGTTGTAGTCTTGTATAAAACAAACCTCCCTTTTTTTATATAAATTTCCTTACTACAATATTTTTTGACTGTCGTGTGGCCTGTGGATCATTGTGAATTTATTTATGTGGCCAGCGAATTATTGTAAATTCATTAGTTTGGCTCTCGAGAGTGAAAGTTTGAAGACCCCTACTCTAAACCATTGTCCCATGTGGTCTAGTGGTTAGGATTCCTGGCTTTCACCCAGGGGGTCCGGGTTCAACTCCCAGCATGGGAAGTTAAGGTTCCATGGTGTAATGGTTAGCACACTCTGAATCCAGCGATCCGAGTTCACAAATTTCGGTGGAACCCTCTTTTGTGCTGGTGAAACTACAACGCCTGCCGCTCTTCTTACTTATTTGGAACTATTTTCAAAGTATAAAGCTAAGATTAAGAACATTTTTGGATGGCGCCACCAGTGCACCCATGGTATCAGAATAATTGCCCTGGAGGTTCCTTGGTTCGGGGCAGCAGTAGACGAGATCAAACTGCTCTTGTTCGCTTCCTTAGCGATCATCTGTTGTCATTGACTTTTGTCGATGGCATTAAACACTTCGAAATTTGCACTAAGTGTTCTTCTGCTCAGGCCTTCCTTGGCCACGTTTTTTTTTTTGTTTGTGGCTTACCAGGCAGGACTTGGTTCAAGATCCCCTACTGGTTTTGGACTTCTTCAGGGTGAAAGGACTCATGGACCTGATATAGCTCTGCTGATCTCGGGGATGAGAAGCAACAACAACAACAATACCATTGTTTGGGAAGCGTGTATCTTTATATATAAAGGAGACTTATTCACACTTACTCATCATGAAATCTCAGGAACTATTAAACCTACAGACTTGAAATTTGGTAGGCATGTTCCTTTCATGGAGTAGAGGTCCGTTAAGAACGGATTTTGTGAAAATAGAACCCCAAGGGACATTACGGGGGATTAGGGGGTGTTATAAATAATTATTTCCATTTTTAAACTATTGGACGTACAATCTTGAAATTTGTATGCAGATTCCTTTCGTGAAATAGAGATTTTCTACAAAAAGGGTTTTGTTAACATTGAATCCCAAGTGGCGTTGCGGGTGCTTAAGTGGTGTTATAGATTATTATTTGATACATGACACCAAATTCTCTGAGGGAAATTCATTTTTCCCTATCCACAAATCCTCTTTAAATAAATTTCAAGATTAATAGTGTAAATATAGTTGCAATTGATTTTATTTATTTCTTTCTTTATTAACGTCGTATTTTGAAACTACACTTGAACTACTAACGATGGACCTTTTAGAACTTCAGTTAAGTTATGAGGATGATATCCGAGGTGGCATCTCTTTCTCTCTCTCCAAATTTCGTCGCATGTCAACTAAATGTTCATTAGCCCCAATACATTGCACTGGTATTAGAGCTCAAATTCTCGACTCAACAACGCTGGCCAAGAATTCGGGACCATGAACATTCGGCTACCGTGGCCACGACACAATTACAATACAACACATAAAATGACATTTTCATAATTTTCTGTTTAGAAACTTTCTATAACTTTGTTATTTATCATAACACAATGAAATATAAACAATAGTTTTTTTATAAATTATAACCTCAAATAATCTCTGAATACTTTAAAGTACTTCATATGGTTTGAAGACGTAATTATTCAATTCCTACTATTAGTTCACTCTCTCCTTATATATCCCATATCTCTCCCATATCTTGTTCAAATTTTTAATCGTTTTTTAAATACTTTCTATTCATCCATTCAAGTTCAAATACATTTTTTTAAACTTACCATGGATTACACTTGATGATAATACAGTTTTTACCTATTATTTTTCTTTACTTAAATTTAAAAAAATGAATAAATATTAACAAACAAAAGTAATAGTCCAACAGCATATATAGAAAGGAAAATTCTTCTTTGTCCCTGTAGTGCAAAGGATAGCGCGTTGGGCTTCTTATCCAATAGTGGTGGGTTCGAATCCCGCCTGGGATGCCCTTATTCCTGAGAATTTGATTTATTTTTACTCTACTATTTTATTCGAATAATTAAATTTAATTAATGAATAAATAGCAACAAACACAACACAAAAGAAAAAAAGTCCAACATCATATTCAGAAAGGAAAATGAAAAATTGCAAGGAAAATCGCTTTCTATTTTGTTTTTTAATATTGTGATTATGTCCTTAATTATTTAATAAATATTAATTAAATATAATTATTAAATAAATTATTATAATTATTTATTAAAAAATAACTAAAATAAAATTTTTCTTTGTTGACTTAATTATTTTTTATATTACTTGCTATTAGTTATCGATTCAATGAATCAAATATTGAGTTCATAAGCTTTTTATTGTATGATGCATTTCTTGATTCAGAATTTCCTTACAAAGATAATTTTAAATCTAATATTAGGTGTAGGGAACTTAAGAGAAGTATTATATTATAGATTTTTTTGAGCCAGAAATTTCTTTGGGATTGGCAATATTTTTTAACGAACAGGAATTAATGATAGAAATACAACTTTCTGAGTGTTTCTATATATTTATAAAAATTAAAGAAAATACAATAACACATGTTTGTTCCACTAAAATATAGTCACTCAATTATCTCTTATCTTATATTTGTTAGAATAGCGAATCTGGTAATGGATTTTTTCAATTCTAAGCAAAAGAGAATAATGAAATTTACTGGAGAGAATTTTTTTAAAGAAATAAATAGCTAAATATTTCTTTATACAAAAGTAGTTCAGCCAAAAAATTTTATAAACAATTTTAAAACTACTTTTCATTTAGAAAATAATTAAGAAATAATCCTGAATGTAATATCTTTTACAATAATTCTCTAAATTCATCCCTTTATTGAGGCATCAAACAAGGAATTTGAACCTTAATCCGTTGCTCATATTAACGTTATTCGAAGAATTTCAGACCATCATTTATTTTCGTTCCAGACGGAAATGCCAGATTCTGGAGAGTCTAATTGTGTTTCCATGTTTACAGAGCCGAGTTGAGCCGTCGATGGCATACTTCTTATTTATTTCCACGGAAATGAAAGCCAGTGGCTCGTCAGTAGCGACTAAGGTTTAATGAGGCGCGTACGCACTTCCCACTTATTTGCTCCCATGAGTAATTATTTGATAAATAACGAGGGATGGAAGTTATAGAGCATTAAAATAAACTTTAACCCAAGGTAAAGATACACAAAAGTATGGAATTAATTTGTAATGCGGAACTGTTCTTGTGTGGAGAAATAAACTAGAAAAAAAAATCTACAATTATCTTTTAGGACAGCGTTTTGTGTTATCATTTTAAGTTAGAACACTTTAACATAAATTTCTTTAAAAGATTTTAGTGGACTGAAATAAAACATTTAAAAATTGAGTCTTTTTTTTTATAAAGTATTGATAGACGCATTATTTAAATTGCATATATAGTTCCAAAAAACAAAAAATTATGCAGAATTTAAAATAAATTTAAAATTATTATTTTTGTGACTCTATTTATGAATCATTTCATAATAATTTAGTCTCCTTAGCCTTCTAATATTTAAAAAAAAAGCCGAAAGTTAGAAAAAATACCTATATATGCTTTATCTGATATTTCACTTTGTTTTAACATTTCCCTTCCAGTTAAGAAATATTTATAAAAGGTTTAATTGGATTGTAAGTACTGTCAGAAAGCTAAATAAATTTCGTGCTAAATTTCACCGCGTCGCACTTTTTAAAATTACTAAATTAAAGTTTAGAGTTCAGAGGTATTTCTTCTGTTCACTTCGCGAATTCATAGAAAGAATAACAGACAATAACAAATAGTAAGAACTAAAAAGTTAAATAGCAAACAGCAAGAACTTCTTTTTATACAAATTATGTTACTAGGTCCCCGCTTCAGAGAGACAGAAATCAAATTTCTATTGGAGATAACAAATAGGGTTTGTGGTATAATCAAACGAAATCAAAGCAGAGGGAGATCAGTTCGTAAATTTTAATTACACAGGAATTTTAATTACACCGCAGGAAGTAAATGTAACTACTGTTGAATTATTTACAATACACACAAACCATATATATCATAAAACATTCTCTCAATATAAGATACTAGCTGGTATACCCGTTCTACGCATGAGTGAATTGAAAAATTAAACAATACATATTGAAGGATAAAGAAGTTTTTAATGAGTTGATTTTTTTTACTTGAATGGCAAATTAAACAAACAAACAAAAAAAGCTTTTTGCATATCTCAGCTGAACAAAAAACCATATTTGTTAAATTTTAAGTCTGTAGATCTGATAGCTGATAAAAAGGATTTTTTTTTATTTATAACGCCCTATAATTTTCTTGTGGGTCAATTTTTGAAAACACCTACTTTCTGCTCAGCATAAGTAACATATTGCTACAAATTTTGTGTAATCAACGCTTAAAATAGTGTAAATAATTTATATCTCGATGTGTAATAAGTTATTACTTTCTGTTGTATTTATTTTATGTTAAAATTGTAATAGTTGCAAGCAACACCATTCCTTACATTATAATGGCAATTCAATGGAAACATAGTGAAATGTTGGCGATAGAGCCAAGTAGACATCATTTTTGGCTACCATGGTGGCAATTTGACGATTGATTGATCGGTGCATAAGTTGATATGCTTTTATGCGCCACCTGGTGGGAGGCTGGAACAAAGAGAATAGCACAAAACCCTTCTCCACAAAAAAATACATATACATGCCAATTTTCATAGTGATCGATTGAACGGTGTTGGAGTGATGCGATTTTATATATCCAAACATCCATGTATATATATACAGATTTCTCAAATACCGTACTTAATCGAATCTTAGCCACCATCGATTCTAAGCCGCAACTCCAATTCTCAACACGTTTTAGAGAAAAAATAAAAAAAATTGTAAAGGATTCATCAATATCCGATACTTAAGAATTTTTTTTAAAAAATTAATGAGAAATAATAAGAAGTTAATAATTAATTTATTTTAACAGTTTTAAAAACTTTCGAATACACACATGAACCTATAATTGCTCAAACCATCAGTATCATGTTTCGAAAATGATTTTTCACTTCCTTTGTCACAGCTGAATTCGGAATTGGTGCCGGCGTCACCATTTTCCCACACAATGTCGTCTTCTGTGCTATCCAATACATTCGTTATGCAACATTTTTCTTAAGAATGTATTATAGAAGAATGTAAAAAAAAAAAAAAAATAATTATTAAAGACTGTAGAACACACAAGTAAAAACTATATCACTTAGTTAACGTCATCGATATATAGTTGTTTCATCCGTGTCAAATTTTCAGTGGCCACTACTAAGGTATGTTGTTTAAGGTATCCGACTACGTTCGGAACCGTGATTTTGCAAAAGCGCATAAATGGATAATTTTCATGGTATTTAGTGTCACTTAGATTAGAATGCATGTATATAAATGTTTTAAGGACATTTTGACAAAAAAAATTATTTAAATACAATATTTTGGCAAAAAATTAACTTAGAATAATCTTTTTTCAAAATGTTCTCCTTTTGTGAAAAATGCTTCTATTATAATAATATTTTGCCTGTATATAGCTCAGACCTCTCTACAGAGGCTCAACTAGAATTTTTGAGATATATAACTTAGAAGTGGATTTATCCATATTTTACGACAACAGAGGGGAGCAATTTTAAGAAAAAAACGCCAATAATTATTTCAATTGGTGGTAACTGAAAATAATGTGAATTTTTCAAAAATTCTAGTTGAGCCTCTGTACAGAGGTCTGAGCTATATACAGGCAAAATATTATTATAATAGAAGCATTTTTTTTTCACAAAAGGAGAACATTTTGAAAAAGATTATTCTAAGTTAATTTTTTGCCAAAATATTGTATTTAAAAAATTTTATTTTGTCAAAATGTCCTTAAAACAATTGTACACATGTATTCTAATCTAAGTGACACTAAATATCACGAGAATTATCTATTTATGCGCTTTTTTAAAATCACGGTTCCGAACGTAGTCGGATACCTTAAGGGTTTTTTTTTTCTCTGCATATAAAATTGCCTCCCTTTTCTTCTTACTCGTGTCACAATGAATTCGTCTTGATCCTATTACCGATATCTTTGATGTTTTAGGTGATTAAAAGAAAGCATATACAAAAAAAGAAAAAAAAATCCTATTAACGAGCAAACAAAGATATTTAGGGTAGACTGAATACTGAAGGTAAACTGCGGATTGGGGTAAGTCATCGATGCCAATGTCCCGATGGTTACACTTTTCCTTTTGAAAGGGGTTGGAAACTTAATTTCCCCCATTCGATAAATGTTTTTGTCTTCGATTCTAAGCCGCACCCGATTTTCTGTAGCATTAACAGTGGAAAAATAGGGCAGCTTAAATTCGAGTAAGTATGGTATATCTCTTATTCAATTTAACAGTTATGTGGATAAAAATCCTTAGTTGTAAATTTCACACAGCTGGTCCAGAATTTTAAAACAAAACACTATCTGCGCCATTTGCCAGTCAGGACGCCAACCTGGGGACTGTGAGCGACACGATGTAATGAACGTGCATCAGCCTCTCTATATGGTGGATCTTCAGTCGTACCAGATTTTTAAATCGTGACTCAACAACACCGTCCATGAGTTCGTGACCATGACCCCTGAGCCACCACGGCCTTCCATTGATCTTGGGTGAGTGAGTGAGTGTGAGTGTTTAGTGGGGTTTCCCTAATAACGGAAGACTTAATTTGATTTTAACCTACGTTGCACTGTAGAGCAACACGTGGGCTATTGGATATGGACAAGTACTTCTTAAGGCATGGGCCAACTGGTCCCAGCTTCAGGGCCTAACCCCATAGAGGAGAGCATCATTTCTTTCTAGACACTGTCTTAACTTAAGATTATCATCCGAATATTTTTAATGGTCAAATATTATTCCCGTAGGAGTTTCAATCTGCATCTCAATTGGCAAAAGTGGTGAAGGAAGAAAAGTTCGTTCTGGTTACCTTCC